GGGGTACAAGCTGTTATGGGACCCAGACACACTCAGACTTCCTCGAGGTGTTTGTCTCCTGTGCTTTTCAAGCGGTTCCAGTAGCTGTCATGAGCTCCTTCTGCACACCAGCAAGCAGCATGTACATGTTCACACCGGCACCGGGGAGCAGGAGATCCGAGCTTCATACAGCATCTGCGCCAGGAGGCGTTCAAGCCGATATTCGCCCTCCGAGCAGTGAGCTCCGCACGCCGGCTGGCGTCTTCATCACCACCTCGCCCGTACACGGTCCTCTCATTTCAGATTAATTTCAGCTGCGTTCAGACTGTGTGAGCAAGAGACGCGGGGGCGGGAACGGCCGAGGTGGTGGGCCTATGAGAATCCTCGGGGCGCATGACAGGCTGCGGGGTCGTCCAATCGCTGCGCTGTAAAGGTTAAGGCACGCCCACTCCCGGCAGGTTTCTCTGAGAGCACGCTAGCAGCCTGTCGGAGGTGGGAGGCCGCTATACCAAGGGGTCAGACAGACCCCAGAGGTTCACACTGTGCTTTTTTCAGGAAGCGTAAAAGCTCCAATCCCGGCACTAGGGGGGCTACTGCGATCAGGACAGTGCTAAACTACAAATATAATAACCACGGATTGTTCTGCAGAACAGTTCAAATACGCTGTCGTGCCTGTTCATATACTGTAGCTTACAATGTATAGTTGGCCGAACGCGCAGGAGCAGAAAACGGAACAGTGTGCTCGCAATGAAGCCCCCTCGCTGCCACAGTAAATCACCAAGGCCTGCAGCACGCCGGTACAACAGCAGGCGCTGTGGGGATGTGTGCAATAAGACATGTACGCGCAAGGGTATCGGCTGGGGCATGCGCACAGGAATAAGGAAGTGTATGAGGGCCGTGAATGTCGAAACAACGTGGTGTGCAGGTCTTTTCCAGTGAAGTTGTAATTATTCCCTTTCAACTTGCGAATCGAGTCCAGAATCATAACAGAACAGGTGCCGGCACGCAAGACACGGCCGAGAGCCATCGCGTCAGCCGCTCCAGTAACAGCGTGTGCTGCAGGCCCCACACGATAGTTAATTTTCCGTTTCCTGCCGCGGTCGCGGGTGGCGTGGGAGTTCTCTCAGGCCCGTGCTGGGCAAGCCCTCGCTTCGTCTTCTCTGCATTCACTAATAACGGCTCCTCGCGTTTCCTCCCGAGCTTTCGCCCAGAAGGTGTGGTTCAGGGCCGGGGAGAGACTGGGAATGTTGCTACAAGAGAAGGGAGGTGCTAGTCTGTTGTCCAGCGGGAAGGCAGCAGTGTGTGTGTCTACACTACCAACAACAGTAGTTTCCTTCAAGTCGCTGAAGCAGAGTCTTGAAAGCTGCCATCACTGTTCACATTGTGAGTGTGGTGTTTTCCAGCGCAGTATATTTAAGCCTGTTAATGAAGAAGAACGTCCAGGTGATGTATTTTGAATTCACAGGGAGCTGTGCAGTGTTTCTGCTGCCCAGAAGTGGACTGTGGGAGTGGTGTGGCTCCGGAGCGGAGCGGTGGAGCAGTGTGGAGCGGGGCCTCAGTGCAGGTGTGTCAGGAGAGGTGAGGGTGAGCCCGGGGCCCTGACCGCTCTGACCCGCAGCGGGGCTCGGGGCAGGACCTCTGCACCCGTCCCGCTGGCCGACTCACCTGGCTCACCTGCGGGAGGCCCAGGGCACACAGGTGTGACGCGCTGCTGACAGAGCTGCGCTTATCTGGCCTGGCGATCTGAGAGCCGCAGGGCTCCGGTTACAGACCGCGCCGCTGAGCCGAGGAATTAAAGAGTCATGAGATATCGAGAAGCAGCCTGCTGCATTTTGAGAGACCCAGGAGTCAGAGCTGAGGCACTGAGGCAGGCAGCTGAGGCTGGGAGAGGGAGGCAGTGTGAGGCTGTGACAAGAGCTGAGAGAGGGAGGCAGTGTGAGGCTGTGACTAGAGCTGGGAGAGGGAGGCAGTGTGAGGCTGTAATTAGAGCTGAGAAAGGGAGGTTGTGATTAGAGCTGAGAGAGGGAGGCAGTGTGAGGCTGTGATTAGAGCTGAGAGAGGGAGGGAGGCAGTGTGAGGCTGTGACTAGAGGTGAGAGA